CCAGGAGTTCTAGCCCTAAGCTCTTTTACTTATTTACTTCAAAGTTCCCAATTTTATTGCTCTTGGTCAAAAATCTTAATAATACCATTGCATTTCCGTTCAAATTTTATTACTTTCTATCGATGGGCTTGATTGGTCTATTCGGATCAATTTCAGTACAAAATGATTTACCAAATTATAGTACATTGGAACAACAACAAAATCCAATTTGTTTTAACAAGATAATAATAGTTCATAAAATTAAAGTCCTTTTTCCAATTATAAAGTCACCGAATTTGAGGTACTAATAATATACATTCTGGTTTAATAAACTTTTATTTCATTTTACTTTCACTACTAATAACTAAAAATGATTATGATATTAATATTGTCTAAGTTTAAAATGTTCAAATAATATGTCTGTGCTAAACCCTATAGGTTTACAATACATGCGTGTGCGGAAAAAAATAGCTTATTAAGACCAGTGATCGATATGTGAGAAAGATCTATCCTCATAATTACAACAGTTTTATTTCTTGCAATAATAGCTCGTTAGACTACACTTGATTTTTAAAAAATCAAAACAGATTCAAGTCGATCGTTTTAATTCATTGAAAGTTTGAAAAATTGTCCAGCTCAGCTATATAGTATACCTGAAATTCAATTACACTGAAATTTGCATCAAATCAAAATCACAAATAGTAAATGTCACTCGCGTTGCACAGTTGTTCAAAATCGTTTGCTCTAGAGATTCAAAGTAATGTGTTAATCATTCACGTCGTGGTTCGATTCCCACTGCGGTATGCGTTTAGAAACGGACCCTTCGGATGAGACCGTATAAACCGAGATCCCATTTCGCAGTAGATGCTGGCACCAAAAAAAAATCCCTCACTGCTCAATGGTTCTGAGTGTCCTGTATAGGTAAAAATTTGCAGCAGCTCTAGCCTCCATTGGCAAGTGGTAGTGTCTCTTTATGAGTAAAAATTCTCGAAGAGATGTAAAACAAACAAACAAAAGGCAAAGTATTCAGAGATACTTACTTCTATATAGAAATTTCTTGACATGAAATTAAAAATTATGGGATTTAAAAAAAAAATACATAATGATTGAGTTATAAAGATAAAAACATTTTGATAGAAAAATTAAATACAAAAATTCTTTAAAAATTGATTATTGTATCCGAAAAGAACCAGTTATACCCAAAAGATAATATCAACTGCTTGTTCCAATCAGAGGAAGAAAAAAAAGACAATTTAGTGTCTGTTGATGGTAACAATGAAAATAAAAAGTGCCAGTTGGTTGTTGGCACCAAGGATCTTGTACATATTCAGAAGAGAGTAGGGAGGGCGTTGTGCTTCAAATGCTTTCATAGGTATTTGGAAATAAATTATAAATGTTCGAAAAATTAAAGAAAGGAGCCCAGAAGATAAAGATTTTATTTTCAGAAATTGGGATGAGCTGTATCAGCATGTTCATTAATATTTTACTGATTCATATATTACATCCAAATGACTTAAAAAGTTACGTTTGTCTTGAGAGAACTTTGCTGCAATAGAACCATTAAAATGCAAACCATTCAAAGTTGTGTTGATTCAGTTTGCTTAACAAATTAAGACCGCGGAACATTAACTGGCAAAATTGGAAATATGCAACTTACATCATCTCCATCTGTTACTGTCAAAATGTTGAACGATAGACAATGAAATGGGTGGGTACAATTTGACACGGACGTCCGAGAAAACATTGGATTGAAATTCTAGTTTGAAATTCATTTGCAATCCACCTCAGCTACGTAAGAACGTACGGTGTTACTGATTAACCAAGAAGACAAATAATTTCAATTTTGGAATAGTTTGAAATTTATATAAATCAGAATTTTCTGTCCAGTGTATGTAGAGAAATATATTTCTGTTTGGTATGTGTATGTGTGTGCTGGGAGGGAGGCCGGCTGAACGATCTTGGAATAAATATGAAAATTTTCTTTTAAATTGACAACCCCTCCCTGCTTTTGTTTATCAAACAGTTTTCAGTGAAGACAAAACTAAAAAAAGGTTTTTGTCATCCTAGAAATAAATATATTCTATCATGTGAAGGCATGATCTGACTCGACAATTTTTGCCCCCCCCCCCCTTCTAGAATCAAATGGCTGTCCCCTGAAAAAGTAATCTCTGTCTTCTTTTACTTTTACGTATCCTTAAAATTATAGCCTAAAGTACTCATATAAATATGAATGTCAAACAACATGTATTTGGGAATTGAAATCTTTCGGATCATACATTCACACTTTAGGTTTGAAAACAGCTCAGGTGGATTGAAAATGAATTTCAAACTAGAATTTCAATCCAATGTTTTCTCGGACGTCCGTGTTGAATTGTACCCGCCCATTTCATTGTCTCTCTTTAAACTTTATGATTGTAACAGATAAAAATTCAAATGACGTAAGCTGCATATTTCTAATTTCAGTTAATGTTCTGCGCTCTTATATTATATGGATACTATGTGAGAATTGGCTAAAATGAATTTTGGATATTTAATAAATTAAATAAATTGGGATTTAAGTTGAATGTATGTGCACAGGAAAAAAATCTTCATAATTGCAAAACATTGTTATTAATATTGTGTAGATTTAGAGACCCCTATGAGTTTGATATCGCCATATTAATTTATGCGGACACATTTTTTTTCATGACAGGCACGTAGCATCGGGGAGGGGGGAGGGGTCTGCCCCCCACTTTTTTCCAAACATGAAATTTTATAAAATTTTAATATTGTAAATGTTCATGGAAAGTCCGCCCTCCCCCCCCCCCCCTACTGTTTGTTGCAGAATATTCAAATAAGGGTGATGTAGTAGTGTATGAGTAAAATTTGATACTGAAAGAAGTTTGAAACCTATCCCCACACCCAAAAAATATAATTTTCGAGTTAATTTTCGAGCCCCCCCCCCTTTCAAAAACGATGCTACGTCCCTGCATGGGAATATTAAGTGGTAAAAGTTTTTGAAAATCTGAATAAGAACAGCACGGTTAAAGTCATTAAAGTTACTCAGGTGAGTATTGTGGCCCAAGGTCTTCGTTATTCAAATGTTTTTGAAATTATTTCTAATGTTTGGTTTGCATCTCTGTCAAATCTGCAATAGTTGACTTATATCTAAAGCATGAAAAAAATGTTCCGACACTATAGCTTCTTTACTTCCTATTAAATCTTTCACATTACAATGTTCAACTCCCATGAGTACTTTCAGTACTTTGATTAAAAACGATGTCCGGAAAAGAGTATTTTGTTACGATTAACCGGTTAATCGGTCGGAACGCCTTACGGTTAACCGATTGGCAATTCTGTATTCGATTGCCATCCCTAATATATATATATATATATATATATATATATATATATATATATATATATATATATATATATATATATATATATATATATATATATACACCGAAATTCATATTCAGTTGTGTCATATTTATTATCATTATTCATATAATTTTTTGTCTCTTGTTAAATGTTCCGTCTTTATGATAGACTTTTACAGAATGTTTGTATTGATGAACGGATTATCGGATTCAAGGGCAGACATTTCCTGAAGCAGTGTATTGTGGACAAGAAGGTACATAGATGGGGAGTGAAGGCCTGGGTGTTAGCCGAGTCGCACACCGGTTACACACATCATGTCCAAATTTATCAGGGAAAACACAACAGCCCAAATCATCCACTTGGCCAAGGGTGTGTTAATTTAATAGATGTGTATACTAAGTCTCAATACTAGTAAAATAATCGTATTTTCATTATGGCATATAATATGAAGCTCATATTTTAATTTTAAGAAATAATAGTATTTAAAAAAGCTATGATTACAACTATGCGTGTCAAAATGATAGCTAATGATGTAGGAGGATTAATAAACTCGAAAAAAAAAAATAATTAGTAGATGCGTTCAATGAAGTAAAGCGGGCGAGGTAGGTTTGCAAATTTTACAAATAAAGTATGGACTCCTTCCGCAATCATGTTATAAAAATAATATAACATACAATCGGAAATATTTTTAAGCAAATCGCTCTGTATATTTCATCAAAAGTCAATTTTTAATTTTTGGAAAGAGAAAGAAACTTGCACAAACATAAAGAGATTATCAACAAAAACAAATTCACAACATGTGGACAGCCCCTCCCCCCTCCAAAACATATACACCCCAAACCTTAGTATTTTTTTAAATGTTGTATTTCATACAACATTTCTATATTAAACATTTTACAATATCCAACATAGAAAGAACTCCAACAAAAAAGTAAAATTAAAATTAAAAATACTCACGGTATTGTATTATGAAATAGAACAGAAAAGTCACTTTGTTTTTTTATTTACATTAACCCCCCCCCCCCTTTAGGATATCGGACCTTAAAAATCATGTATACCTATACGTTATATGTCACCAAAATTTTAATGTATCATCATATTTTGTTTCGGTTTTGTCTTTAACCATGCTGTCCCTACATTTCACTTTAATCACACTATTCATCTTCAAAGGTAAATTCTATAGTGTTAAAATATCAAATCATTCTTGTTAATACGCATGAAACCAGTCCTCACTATAGGAAGGAGAGGGGTGGCTTACATGCTGTTTAAGTTTTAAACACTTTTTTTGAAAACAATCCCTAAGCCTGGGTGTGCAGATATAGACTTTAAGGGGAGGGGGGGGGGGAGGTCCTGACCACAAGCACTTGTGAAGGCATTTCAACTATACTTTTCAAGTGCAGAATTAGATCTGTGCAGCTGTATTAGAATTTTAAAAATAACTCGTTTAGTTTATAAAAAATAACTATCAAAATGATTTCAGATATAAAGTCGTAATGGATTTAATGAGACCACATTTTGGTAACCTACACCACGTGACCATTGACAGCTGGTTTACCAGTCCCAAACTTCTGCATAATTTAAGGGACAGGGGAGTTTTTGGCACAGGTACAGTTATTACTTCGAGGAAGGGAATGCCAGTTAGTTTTAAAGCTACCCGCTTGCCCAAGGGAGACATGATTGTGAAGTTGCAAGGTCCTGTACAGTGATCGGCGACAGGTGACCCTCCTCAGCACTACAGGAAGTTCCAGGTAGGTTTATCACATAAAATTATTATAATGTTCTAAAATTGTTCACTGCATTTAATGATGTACATTTCATATATAGAATGATGCGAAAAGCTAACACCAAAGGAAAAAATTGTTAAAGCACCAGGAGTTGTGCACAAGTATAACGAAACAATGGGCGGAGTAGATCTAGGTGATCAGCTTCTTACACAGTATGAACACCAGTTTCGTAGTCTCAAACTATGGAAGAAAATTCTGTTCAGTTTCTTTATGATGGCTGCAGGTAATACATATTTTGCAACATTTCTTGACTTTAAATTACTTCTCGCGAATATATATAGGACTCAAAAATACATGCATGTGCAACATGTATTAATGCTATTATGTATTATTTTACAAACCGTTACCTCTTTCAGTCAATGCCTACATCTGTTACAAGTCCTCCTTCGTGATACAGAAGAAAATGGACCACTTACAATTTCAGAAAGAGATAATAAAGGGACTTTTGGGAAATTTTAGGGAAGGAAGATTAAGACGGGGACGACTTGGTGTACAGAGATGTGCTAGATTGTCTGCCAAACATTTCATAGACTGGATCCCTGAAAAGAAGCGAATGAAATGTGCTGTTTGTTCAGGAAAAAGAGGGAACTTTGCCGGAACAAGGATCCGTACTTGGTGCCCTGATTGTTCCGTCGGGTTGTGTGTTGGAAATTGTTTCAGAAAATTCCACACTCTTATTAATTACGAAGAATAAAATTAATTTTATATGGAATATATAATAATGAGTTTTAGTCATATTCAGTTACTACGTACTTGTATTTTGTTTGATTTCTCAATTACTTTTTTCACGTTACTTAGTTCTGAATTTAAAAAAATCAAGGATGAACTATTTAGCGAAGGTATTGTAATATTTCCAAAATTTTGACAATTTAATTTTTATTATACCTTCATGTTCATTGGTCGAATCTGACTGGTTGGAAGGCGTTTGTTACACTACTGCGTGCATAAACCACACCCTCCACAGGGAGACAATTCATTACAAAAAACGCCACTTCACTACTCGATACAAGGAATACCCTATTAATTTAAAACGACTTGTTCCTCACTATTTTTTTTTTTACTTAAATTGCAGTTGTCGGGATTTCTCTGGTACTATATAATTTTCATAACTTTAGCAAACTACATAATTATGTAATAAATGTACTGGAATTTTATTCCAGATATTTTTTTTTCGTCACATTTATTTGAAAGTTACTTTTTTCACATTTTGAAATAAATTTTTATGCAAGCAAATCTTATCGCACTTGCAAGATTTTACAATCTGCATTATTAGTTTTAGTCTTTTATAAAACGGGAATAAGAAATTATTAAATTCCTTTTTGTTAAATTATTTGTGGAATGAATAATTTCAATTTTAAAAAAATGATCTATGTATGAGGATTAGGTTCCAAAATTCAGGAAGGGGTGTGCAAATCCAGATTCACTCCTGATAAAAAGAATTTATTCACGAAAATCATAATGATTGTCTGTTACGTTTAGGTACATGTATTTCGGTACGCAGAACGTACAGACTACTATGACGTACTAGCGACGTCATAACGTGATTCTATTATAAATGGCACTAAGAGGGTTAATCAATTATCCAATCTCTAAAAATGCTGCTAATGGCAATAACTCCTTCTTATGTATATTCAGGCCTTTTCTTTATTGTACTTCTACTGTAAAATGGATTCTCTGATATTTAAAATTCAAGCATTTTTATAACGAAGTTATCATTTTGGAACTTTCAACATCAGAATAATGTATTTGAACCAGTTTTTACATAATTTTTATTATACTAATTGCTAAAAGTGTACGATTTTTTATGATCACATATACTGTACAATTATTACTGTTCTTGAGGTCAATACGATGATTTAGACACCTGAGGAGTACAATATTCAAGTACAATATTCGGGCTCGGGTAATATTTCATTACCTTAAGTTCATTTTGAAGATTTTATACAAAACATAATGATTTTATTATCTTAACTTCTTTGCTACTCATCAGAAGAATGGAAATTTATTGGAAAGTGAACATTTAGGTAAAGAAATTTATTGCATCTCACCAGGAGCACTAGTGGAATGTACATATGCATGTGGATAACTTTGAAAGAAGCTTATATGACATGATATTGAAGATTCTTTAAATGGTTTTAAATTAAAATGAAGTAATTAAGGAAAATTATTGATTGCTTTTTGCTGGGAAGCTGTGGCTATGTAAAGGTTACATGAATTAATTTCAAATGCATTGGAGTTCAGAAGTGTCGAAATACAGTTAAAATATGATAGTTATTCATAATACCAATTGAAATAATTTAGAATGAATATCTGTATGGAGACTGAATTGTAGTTTGCACTTTCTTGCATAATTTTTCAACGGATAATATTAATCTCACAATTTTGAAGACAAATAGCATTTTTTTCATAAACCTAATATAACATTCCTGTAGTAACGTTTTTCAAGTTGGGGGGGGGGGGGCTTGCTCCAAAAAGAAATGAAAAGTTGACCAGCCAAGAAATAAAACTGCCCAAAATCGAAATCCTGTTCCTATTGTGTATTTGTGTGTGTGTGTGGTGGGGGGGGGGGGGGGTCTGTAACTCTAACTTCTCGGAGACATTTTTTATATGCTGAAATTTGCCTGTGTTCAACCGTGCAGCAACAAAAAGTGGGGAGGGTAGAGGCAAGCAGCTTCAAAATGACAATTTACATAGTAAAACTATATATATCAAAAAGATATCAAAAAGACTATTCGCAGAAAAAAGGGGAGCAAGCCCCCCTCCCCCCTCCCCTCCCCACCGCGTACTGTGTAAGAAGTAAGGACATATATGGACGTGCATGAAGAAATTTCCACACTATTAGATGCAGGGCAAAGTATATCAAACCAGTTAACCAAATGTTGAACAAAAAATTATCATTATAAAGTAAAACTGCACAAAATTTTCCTTGTTGATGTGGAGTCTATTGAAAAAAAATCGTAAATGCATGTATATGTCTGAAGGCAAAAGATTGATCGATTGATTGTATATTGCATATATTCCCATTCGAGAATTTTTCACTCATATAGAGACGCCGTTTGTTATCATGGTGTTATTGCAAAAAGATATAAAATTTCTATTTAAAAAATCTTAATCTTAAGAACAAACATTATTTAATTTCATGTAATTGTCACGCCCTTTCAATAGAACAATCCAAGATAATTTACTCGTTACATTTGGCGCGAAATGATTGTGTCACCCCTTTCGTAGAAGACAAATAGACTAATCCAATAGTTTAGAAACGCAGAAAAACTGTTACACGGACGTGTACGTATATGGTATCGCAAAAAATAAACAGGAACATGCAAAAAACTGAAGGAAGTAAATACATCAATATTTTGATTTCTTCTGTTTTTGTTAAGATGCAGATAGCAAATTCCGATGTAAATCAGCTTGCACAAAATCTAGCTCACAAAGTATGATCTCTTAGTTTCGGACCATGGAAAAATTTATCCTCATGCCTGACGCTCGTGGCGTTAGGCAATTAATTGATGAAACGTCATCAACTAATGCTTTGCATTGCTGAAGCACTAATAATATTACTTTCACCTATGATAAAAAGTAGCATTAGTCGACACATGGTATATTGTGTAACTTTTCTTGTTATTGGATGAATATATATTTAAATTCAAACAAATTCGTATCGATAATAAATGTATTCATAATTTATAATGAAAACGAATGCTTCCATTTACTCTACATTATGTCATCAGTGGAATGTAAATATATACTCTTATTTGTAATTTTTAAACTGCATGTATCTGCAGACAACATAACAAACCGAGGGAAGGAACTCATGTTTTTGTGAAATAGATGCAATGTATCACGAAAAAAGTCCTTGTGAAAAAAAATGTTGTTAAAGTCATTTTCTTCATTAAAAATTCTTTTATCAAACTATATCTACATTTATTTCGTCCTGATCGAATTGAGTAGGGGATAACTGCTCTGGTGAATAATGCAAATTACTAGAAAGCATCAATGTGGAGGTTGCACATAAAATAACTTATTAGAAGCAGTGCATCTATGTTCAAGGAAACTAAGTTCAAGAAGGAAAATTCACCATAAGCTCAAACTAATGTATAAAATGCACAGTATCTCCATTAATGATATACTGAGTTGAAGCTTAGTAACATCAACAATAACTCTGTGGAATAACTTACCTGAAGATATTAAGAATTCGATACCCAACCTTACTAAGTTTACTTTAAAATTTATGCAAAATAAGCCCAATCTGTGCAAAATATGCAATTAAATTGCCAAAATAGGTAATATGCCACTGGCAAAAGACATGAAGTTATCTTAATACACATCTGTTTAAAGATCACCTTTGTGAATCACCAAACATTAACGACCGTCTACAATGGCATACCAGTTTAGTTAGATAATGTACTAATGGTGAAAATTCATTTTGTCTGACTGTCATTACTTTATTTATTTTAAAAACTCACAGGGGTTTACAATGAAACCTTGGTATAATATCACATACAGTGCACTAGGATTGATTGATTGATTGTATGTTGTTTTACCTCGCATTTGAGAACTTTTCACTTATATAGAGACGTCACCATAAGCCGGTGAAGGGCTTAAAAGATTAGACTTCTACTTGGCACTCAGGGCCATTGAGCAGCAAGGGTTCTTTGTCGTACCAGCACCTACCGTGACATTGGACCTTGGTTTTTAAGGTTTCATCCGAAAAACCGTTGACTTTAATTTTATTTTTAGTGCCAGGCGCCTGGCTGAGGAACAGTCACTTTAGGATTTGACTCGAACGAGAATCGAATCCCGGCCTCCCGATCACGAAGCTAACGCCCTACCACGAAGCCACCGTGACCGGTGAGCTTACTAGGAAGAATTAATCATACTATTCTGTTCAGGAATTCAGAATGAACAAAAGGCATGAATGTCTATAATAGTTTCCTCTAAAGGTCTAGAAACATGTATGTTGACTCGATCAGATAATATTATAGACATTCATGCCTTTTGTTCATTCTGAATTCACGTCACTAAATGAGTAAAAAAAAATAATAGTTTCAATTTGTGCTTTAATATCACGTATTTCGTTACATTCCCTGGGGTCACTTTATATATTTATTTTTTTTCAAAGCTTTTGCATGAATTAAGTCATAAGATTGCACGTTTATAAATTAAGTTTCATATTTCGGAGGTTTCAGTCATTTCCATTGCAAACGTTCACTAGGTACAGATAATCTTTTTACTTACCATTCAGCAAATTCGACGCTACAGTCCTACTTATTTTTATAACTTTGATCATATTTTCAGGAATCCAGTTTATAGGTCGGACAACAATTCTCCCCCACACAATTTTAATATTTCGTGAATTTGATTTATTCTGCACTGATTTGTAATATTTATCATCATTTTGACAACAAATTAATTAATTTTGACGACAAATTGATTTAAAAAAACTACTTGCAACAAAAGGAAGACTAACCTTGTATCCAGAGGAAGTGACGTAGTTTTGTACTCGGCATGCAACCGCATACAACATGCATATTATTGATCCTTCTTGCATCTAAAGTGCGCATATTTTTTCTGCACAATGCAAAGCAATAAAAACACGACTACTTCCCTAATATCGGATGGTATTGCCTATTTTTTACCTCTTAGTTCACACCTGTAGATGAAACACTACAGGAAGCCTTATAAACTCCTTAACTTTT